TAGATAGATAGATAGATAGATAGATAGATAGATAGATAGATAGATAATTGAAAAAATAAGATTCTTGGCTGTAGTTGAAAAGCCTAGGGGCTATCACAATGGTTGACTTTTTGCTACCTGCTCATTTTTAGCCAAAAAGAATTCTTCCACCCAATCATGCATCATATGTAATAATGTCATTACTAAAACAATGAAATTATATTAATTTTTAAATTCATGCTTTCTGCCTTGAAAGACAAATCTAGCAGAAATTCTGCTAAAAATCCCACAATTATGCAAAACCTTCGCAGTACATCTTTCAGCATTCAGTTGGCACATTTAATCCTCTCACACAATGCGAAGGGGAACAGAATTCCCAAAACCTCACACCTATTTTTCCATCTTTCTCTCATCCTAAGTCGATCCAACAGACAGTGACTCCCGTTGAAAAGCAGCTGGTGATCTGTCAGATCATCACCAAGGCCAGCACCACTTTGAGCACACTTAGTATGACAGAAAATCAAAGCCGTGGATGAGTTTGTTGCCATAATTCTGAAAAAAAAAAAACTTAAAAAGAAAGCTAAATGTTTTTTAATTAACTTTATCTTTAAATTTTGTCATCAGTATGGGAGACAGCATAGGGGTGGCATACTTGCAAGACTGTGGTTTCAATCTCTAGCATCTCTCTCTCTCTCTCTCTCTCTCTCTCTCTCTCTCACACACACACACACACACACACACATACATACACACTGCTATTACCACCACCACCAAGAGCAACAACAACCACTCCACACAAACACAGTTCCCCTTAAGAGACTGGGAGATGGCTAAGACAGCAAGCTGTCAGGTATGCAAGCGTGAGGAGCTGAGTTCAGTTCCCAGCACCCAGATAAAAACCAAGAGTAGCTTTAGGTACCTATAACCCCAGCGCTACAGAGGCAAAGACAAAGGAGTGCTTGGGGCTCACTGGCCAGCCAGCCTAGGCAAATTGTCAAGTTCCAGATTGAGTAAGATGATCTCAAAAAAAAAAAAAAAGTAGAGGGACTGAAGAGATGGCTCAGAAGTGAAGAGCACTTGATGCTTTTCCAGAGGACGAGAGTTGAGTTCCCAGTACCCAGACTGTGCCACTCACAAATACCTGTAACTCCAGATTCAGAGCACAGAGACCCAATACACTTGCATGCACATGCTCACAAATAATAATAATAATAATAATAATAATAATAATAATAATAATGATAACAAGAGTTATCAAGAGAGTTCAAGGCCAGTCTAGACTGCATAGCTAGGCCCTATCTTGAGAGAGAGGGGGGGGGAATGAAGGAATGAAGTAAGGAAGGAAGGAAAGAAGGAAAAAATAAGATAGCAAGCGTTATTCAACCCAAAAGCTTAAGTAGACATTTATTTTTTACAAAATAGCAATTGAGTTCTACAAACCAGAATGGAAATTGTTTTGTTTGCCTATAATTATTGTGTATTATACATAAAAACCTTGATTATATATCTTTTTACTTCAACTTTTTTTTTCGAGAAAGGGTCTCTCTGAATAGCTCCGGCTGTCCTAGAACTCTCTATGTAGACTAGACTGGCCTCAAACTCACAAAGATCCACCTGCCTCTGCATCCAAGTGCTGGGAGTAAAGTTGTGTGCCACCCACCCGGTTTGCTTTAACTTTTAAAGAGCTAGTGTAACGTTTACAAAAAATGATTTTGGTTATTACTAAACATATGCATGGCAAAATAATCACTCTTTGATGTGGAAACATTCCTCATGAATCCTTCATTAGACTTTGCAGGTTGGCCTGTTTGATGGTTCTGATGCTACAGAGACCCAGAAACTTCTAACACCATCTTTAGTACCCAAGAGTACTAAAACCATAAATGCATAAAAACCAGACTTTGGAATGCTGTCTTTCCCCACGTTTCAGAACAGAATGCCTCATGGGTTTTGTTTTGGTGTTTGGGTTTTGGTTTTGTTTGGTGCCTTAAGCTTTTCCTCAAGGTTAAAGGTATTTTTTAAAACTTGATCCTTTCTTGGATTTGGTTTATAGAGCCAGTTGCTCTTTAAGCGGAGACGTGTGTTTTAATGTTGACCTGTGCCCATTGCGTTCACAGTTATTGAGCTGCACCCATTAGCCCCTTTTCAGTGGCGTGAAAGCAGAAGGTCAAGCTGCAGGACAGAGGCATGACTCAAATATGCAACGCCTCCCCCATTCCCAGGGCCTCGAGGTCTGCATTCAAAAGTCACAGTGTGCGGTAGGTAGATACAAACACTAACAGTAAGTATTAATTAATAATGACTTTTTCCCTCACCGTCCACAAGGAAACCAAAGTATGATGGGGTACCCAGTGCCCAACCCAGGCCTGAGACTGCAAACAGGGACTTTCTCCCTGGAGGACAGCGTACACTAAAGATGAAGTACCTGTGCTCAACGTGCAGAAGTGTTCCAGATTTCCAGATCCCACAAAATGATCCTCATATATGATGGCAATTTAACTTTTAAATATTCCTCCATATATCTAACACCAAAATGCTTCACCCTAAAGCTCTCCCAGGTGACAGTCCACAGCACAGCTCACACACTAAAGACATCGCAAACACAAAGCAACCATGTAGGGAGTGCGCTGGGATGTGTTGAGTGTAAGGCTGCTTCAGAAACATGAATCAGTTCACTGAAAATGCACACGCCATAGTACATTTCTCCAGTGTAATCTTGAGAAGAGAAAGGAAATATTTTCAAAAGCTTGAATCCTCTATCTATGCTGATTAAGGCAGTACAAGAACAGCAGTTAAAATCCTACTCGGTACAAAAGTGGACAAAACTCCAGAGTTTAACAGTTTAACTTCGTCATTCGTGGACAAAGCTGATGACAGTCGTCAGCTCCTGCCTGTGTTCTTAGGTTCTGTGATGAGTTGTTGTTTGTCAAATAAGATCCACGAACAGACTAAAAGGCTTCCAGGCAGACAACAGGAATGCATTTCAGATGGTCTCTGCTAGAAGATTCCGTGGCATCTGTCAATAGCCAGCATCCTACTGTTTCACTCTTGGCCAGCAGTGGATACAGGCAACCTGAGAGATGCCGCCATTGTGAAACAGGTGAAGAAAAACTTATTGCCTCTTTACTGTCTGGATCTACGCATTCATTCTTCCAGTGCTTTCAAACAATTCTGGGCCTCTGAAAGGACTTCTAGCTCCCTAACCGAAGAGCAGTTGATAAAGCTGGTTCTTCTTAACTCACAAGTGCAGTCAGTATGTCTGGGATCTGAACCCCAAGTCTGCAGTTTTTCCCGACTACCATGCTACTGTTCTAAAATAAACATTGAAGAGCTGGTCTTTGCACAGACTTCACATCTAACTCTCCTCTTGACGCCATAACAAACTTATGAGCTTCAGAGGTAGATGCCACGACTCTCTCCTATCTAGGAGGAATTGTGGTTCAGAGAGTAAACAGCA